TGGACCTGGTTTGCGATATTGAAGGTCGGTACAGGAGTGGGTATAGTGTGAGAACGCTGCCGTCGTTCGCTTCATGTTTCATTGCAGGCCTGCTGGAAAATATGCCAAAGACTCCTGGATTATCATACGATCCTTCCCTGCTCCTCCATGGGGAGCATGTGATAGAGGTCCTACATCCATTGCCTACAAGTGGAAAGGTGCGGAGTAAAAGCAGGATCGTGGACATTCGTGACAAGGGTAAAGGAGCGCTTATTGTGATCAAGACACAGTCTGTTGATGTCAACACTGGAAGAGAACTCTGCGTTAACTTGACGTCTTGCTTTCTACGCGGAGCTGGTCAGTTTGCGACTGGAAGGGCAGCCCCTTTGAAACTCCCAGTGACACGAGGAGGTGCTGGTGGAGACGTCACCTGGGAGGGCCGATCTCTCAGTTCTGGGAAAACCGCTGGTGGTGATGTGACTGGTAGCTCCTCCTCGTCAAAGCTGCGGCCCTCGTCTGATTCCATGCCGATGCCGAGGAAGAGAGAGAAGACGCGGAGTGAAACTAGTAGACCTTTTCCCCCTTCTCCGACGACTACTCCCTCATCTAACTTCGATGGGCAACATCCTGCGCCCTTCGTGTGGGAGGAGACGACACTCCTCGCTCAGGCGCTGCTCTTTCGTCTTTGTGGCGACGTCAATCCCATTCATTCGAACATGGAGGTTGCTGCGAAGGCTGGATTCAACCGGCCGATTCTTCATGGGCTGTGTACGTACGGATACGCCGCAAGGGCAATCGTCCGTTGTTGTTGTCCTGGTCATCCGGAGTGCATACGGAAGCTGCATGGCCGATTTCTTCTTCATGTGTTTCCGGGCGAGACACTTCGAACAGAAATCTGGCGGGGAAACGGGAACAGACATAAGAGTGGGAACCTGGGTGGGGAGGTGGGGGGTGGGGACCACATTGTGGAGCAAGTCACTTTCCGATGCTCTGTAAAGGAGCGAAACTATGCTGCAGTCTTGATGGGAACAGCAGAGCTGATCTCCCTGCAAGCAAGACTGTAGAAGCACGGCATGCATGGAACTTGGGGGAATTCGGGAATGACTTGATCTTTGAGCTGCTGTGAGCTTTGAGAAGACAGATAAGCTGAGGAGCTGATGGGACCATCCATCCATCCATCCATCCATCCATCCGTCCATCCAGCCATCCATCCATCCACCCATCCATCCATCTGTTGGTGTTGACTGTGAATCACTCTAGTTAACACATGGGAGTGGGACATGGGAGTGGGACTGGCGGCTACACCGGCTAGTTCGGGACACGGGAGTGGGACTTGCGGCAAGTTCGTGCTGGGAATGGCTGCTTGCTTGGCAACCATTGTTTCGCTGCCTTCATTAGCGCATGACTATGGACGTAGAGGGCTTTGCCCGAAAGGTGATGTTTGTGAAGGAGCTAGCCCAGGGGCAGAAAGTCAAGAAAGGAGAATGCATGGAGGGGGAGGAGGTAGGGACATGTAATGGCTGCTTGCTCGGCAGCCAACCATCGTTGTGCAGCCTTCATTAGCATAAAAATAACAAGGAACACAGAGGGCTGCTTTGCCCAAAGGTGATGTTTGTGAAGGAGCTACTGTAGCCCAGAGTCATAAAGTCAGGCGAGGAAAATGCATGGAGGCGGAAGAGGTAGGGACGCATACAACAAGGACATATAAGCGCACCGAGATACACTTAGGGGATATCCCTACCTGCATGGAAGCGAGAATGCAGGTAGGGATATTACTTCATATGTTCCTGTGGAGGTATGTTTGTGATGAGTGATACGAAGCATCGGAAGCAAGATCGGAAGCAAGGAAAACAAAGGGAGGTAGAGGAGGTTGGGATGGTCGATACGTTTGATTAAGTGGGGCTTTTGCAGCACAGCAGCAGAAGCTAAGAATTTCTTGGTGTGAGCAGATGGGAAGAAGCAGGGAATGATTGCGGTGGGGTAGTGAAGGCATGTGGCGGGGGAGAGGCAAACGAGGAGAGAACTGGGTGGGGGAACAGCAGGCAGGGATGTGATAAGGGAGGGAGACATGCGGTGTTCTGTGTGACCGTGGGCCCGTGGCTGAGTGGTGTAACTAGGAATCAAAAGAGCAAGGAGTTTTCAGACTTGGTTATGGAAGAACTGTTCTACCTGATATGCCTTTTGGATCCTAATAATGGCCAGAAATGCGACTACATACCTTTCCTCATCCCGGTTCACGGATGATTGCCAGATTTCTCACTTGTTCTTCTTTTGACTGACAGTTGACGTATAGAAAAAGGACAGACGACTCTAACTCGGGCGGGCTTAGCGGCGATTGCCAGGCTCGTAATTGCAAACAACGTTTAAGATGCAGTAGATACTTAGACAGTTAAGAAACAGTATGAGATATACAGCTGTCCCCCAATGAGGAGAAGACAGCTTTAAAGTTTAAACCACCACTCTACCTCCACGCCTACAAATTTCAAGTAGCAGCCTACAAGTTGAAGTGTCGGGAGGCTGGGCCCGCCGTCGATAAAACCCATCGGCGGCGTCCATGCGTTACAGGCCTCCACACTTCGTGGAGCTCTTTTCCGTGACAGGCGTGCTGCAGGTAGTGGTGGTTTACAGAAAAAAAAAAAAAGACAAAAAGAAACTGATTATGAATTACGAGTCTATGCGATCATTTTGTCCTTGAGGCTTCAACAGCTGCAGTCTGCAAAATTTGAGGGTTTATCTGGCTGGCTGGCTGTCTCTCCTGTCTCCTTCGTTCTTAGTAAGAGTTTGAACGGCAGGTTACTTGTGATCAATAGCACCAGATGATGATGATGGTGAGGAGGAGGAGGAGGAGGAGGAGGAGGGTAATGTGCAAACAATGTGAAGATATGAATTCACATTTCATGATTTCAATGATTTCATCTGATTTTTTCAGAAATTCGACATGTTTCTTCAGCTATGGATACTGCCTTCCTGGAGTGAAATGTGCAGTCATTATGGCTGTACCGAGACTGAAAGGTGACCAAAATTCAGCTATTGTAATGAGCGTACAATGCGGCGTACATTCTATTTCGGGGGAAGAGGGTAGATTTACTAAAGATTGTGCGTAATTGCCTATGCTCTTGCTTCTATCTACCTGAATCGAGACTGAAAGGTGGCCCAGATTCGGCTATTGTAATGGCCATGCATTCTATGGCGGGTTTTTCGTATGCACGATTGACAGTTTGGCATTTCCTCTTTTTTTTGTCCATTCTTTCTCCTTTGTATTAAGCCATCCTTACCGCTGCCCCCCGCTTTCCCAAATTCCTCCCCTTCCCTCAAGCCCCCCCCCACCCTCACCCCTCCGCCACGGACCCGAAGACCAGTAGAATGGCTGCTACTTGCCCATTGCACCTGACGACATACACCTCTGTGCTTGCCTCACAGCTGCTCTCACACACCGACCAACCAAGAAACACCATGCAGCGGAAAACTGGTGCGCCAGAGCAAGCATGCCTCTTCGGATGCTTCGCAGAACTTTGCAGCAGCTTCTTCTTCTTCTTCTTCTTCTTCTGTTTTTTTTTTTTTTTTTTTTTTTTTTTTTTGAAAATAACGAGGCCATTGCAGAACTTCTTCTTCTTTTTTTTCCTTTTTTTTTTCTTTTTTGAAAATAGCGAGGCTATTGCAGAACATCACTGCACAGAGAGTGTAAAAAACCGACCTTTACCAACAGGCCTACCTCAGTTGATACACTTCGGAATTGTTAAAATACAGACCCAATTTCGAATCCAGATACCTTCAGATGAAGAGAGAAAAGAAAAAAAAAGAAATCTGAATTGCCTGGGGAAGCTCCGTTCATGGATGCTATCTAAAGGCCGTTGCCTTAAAAAAAAAAAGAAAAAACCCCGACCTTTCAAGAAAGTGCGAGGCATAAGGCCCCGACGAGCCCCTTTTTGGCCCTGTAAGCAGCACTGTCGGCCGCCCTAAGTGAAGGCTGGCTCGACCAAGGCCAAGATGCCTATTTTTCGGCCACCACGCAACTGGCGAAATTCAGGCAGTTGCGCAGCGCCAGTTGGTTGAGAGCGCCCACACCCTTGCTGCCTTTTTCGTACGTTACCAAGGCAGGCCGTGGGCCAGATACACCATATGGGCCGAACACAGGCTGCGGGCACATGGGCACAGGCAACCGTCACAGGCCCTGGGCCTGATTCGATTGGACCGGGGCTCAGCCTCTCGGGGCCTACTGGAAGTTTCTGGGCAGGGGCCCAGCGCAACCAGGCCACATGCAGCAGGCAGGCCACTTCCATTTAGGAAAGTGCCTGCCCTCGCATTGGGCATTCGGGCACTGGCTGCATGCTGCGCAAGCGCTGCTGCGCTAATCGCTGGCCAGGCTCACATGCTCACGGGCGAGCTGGAAGAGCAGGCAGCCATAGCCGAGCTGCCCTGTGCTATGCTGGATGGGGCGCATGGTGGTCCTTGGGTGCATGTGGCATCTGTGAGTGGGGGATCGAGGTTGTGAGTGATACGAGAGACATACCTGGTGCTTGAGGCGAACGGCATTGGCCGAGATCTGCTCGTACTTCGGGGAGCTGTTGACGTCACCAGCGGCATTGTAGATAGGCTAGATAGGATCTGCCATTTGTAGTCTGAGCGCAGAGCGCCAGATAGGATGTCGACATTGGTTCTTTGTTGATGATGATGAGGCGACTCCAACATTGTCACTTGTGAGCTTTTGCGGTGCTCTGATTTGGTGGAACTCGTGTTGCAATTCTGCTTTTGGTTCGAGGTCACGACTATCTGGTTTCATGTGTATGATGCTGCTTGGTTTCTGAAGTTCGCTATCGCTCATTTTCCTCGCAAAAGCAACAGACGCTATCTCACAAATCTGTATTGTTTCTTAAAAAAGAAAAAAAAAAGAAAAAAAAAGAAAAGAAAAACGGACGCTAGCTTAACGAAGTGTTGAGGATCACATTGCAGGAGATTGTCCTTCCCCACATCCGTAAAAATTGGAACTGTACAGAGAAAGAAGATTAATTACTAATTACTAATTACTAATTACTAATTATTAATTACTAATTATTAATTAGTAATTAGTAATTACTAATTATTTAGCATTGTCCCTTTCGCAAGGCTGACGTGCATAAGTCAAGGAATGGTCCAAATTAAAATATAAAAAAAAAAAAAGAATCACATGTGCAGGAGAGTTTTTAAATTTTGCACTATGGGGTGGGCCTCGCTCCACTACTCAACACTCTATATGCATTTGGACGTCTTTCTTTACCGGGTGCATTCCAAGGAGTGCACGTTTCGAATGCATGTATCAATACAATTATTAGGTCCAGATACGTCTAGAGTGTTGCATAGTGGAGCGAGGCCCATTTGACACGTGGCGCATGGACAGGGAGGGGCCGCCGTTGATAATAAATTCAATCGGTGGCCTTTGTCGCGTTTCAGCCTCTGCCCGGTGCCAATGTATGGCATGTACTGGTGGTTTAAGAATGAGCTGGAACACAACATTATGATCAAAGTTGGGTTACAGGAATCCCAAAATGTACTTTGTGCGCGGGGATGGACTCTGTTCCCGGCCTACCTGCCGGCTACAAAAGCTACCAAAATGCAAAAGTGGAGAACCCTTCCTGCGATCTTCTTGACTTCCAGAACAAGAGGATGAAGGCTTGTGTCCTTTGTCAACGGCGCCGGCCACCACACTCTAAAAATATCGCAGACAAGGAGAGTTGTCCGATAGCGAAGACATCAGAGAACCTGGATGCAGCAGAGATCATATGACTAAAACACATCATCATTCTTCAGAACGAAGGGACCTCAGGGCGTACTCTCTCTCTCTCTCTCTCTCTCTCTCTCTCTCTCTCTCTCTCTCTCTCTCTCTCTCTCTCTCTCTCTCTGTGAAAGGCACAGCACTCTCTCTCTCTCTCTGTGCTCTCTCTCTCTCTCTCTCTCTCTCTCTCTCTCTCTCTCTCCTTTAGATGTATCTGATGGTTCTGACTGCATGTACGGCTGGACCTGGATGTATCGAAACGTCATTACGTCCATAAATAAGTAAAAAGGTCCTAGTGTGAGTATGCCCTCGTTCAGGAAAGCATTGCGCTCAACCAAACTGATGCAATCAAGAGCTTTATCCAAGGAACCATCACTGATCTCCACACAGCTTAAGTAGAACATTGACGTCGTTTGCAAGTGTACGTTCAAGTCCATGTGCCTGTGTGAGAGTTCCAGTCTCCACCAAATATGATCGTTGTCCGGTCCTTCAACGTCAACAAGCCTGGCACGGAGGTTGATAACCAATTAACATCAAAGGATGACTTGCTCGAGTGAGTATCGGTAGTGGCTTTTTGTGGAAAGGAAAGTCGAGCAAACTCCCAACTCCTGGCATGAATGGGTAGAGGAAAGTCGTTGATGGCACGACTGGGAGTCCATTGGTGGAGCCACTGGAGAGTCAAAAAAGGGGTCAAAAAAGGGGGTAAAAAAGAAGCCTTAGGGGGGGAAAAACCAATCATGGTAACCAAATGGAACATCGTAGTCGAGCCAACAATCAGCTTTCACGAGAGCCAAACTTGGATGATGGTCATCCCTTACAATTTCAAGAACAGAGGGATTCTAGACAGAATGATCCGATGAAAAATATTTGTTGGCAGCGGACGGGGTAGAAGTAGAAGCGAGTTCGTTCGAACAGTCGTAGGCATCAACAACATCCATCGTCGTGGAGTTCGGCTCAAAGTCCGAAACAGCCAGATCAGGGCCGAACTCTGGAGATAGGGGGAGGTCAGGTGCCAACTGACCCGTCAATGTCGATCCCTTTAGAGTCTAGACAGTACCTCTTCAGCCTGTTTTTTTTTGTTTTTTTGTTTTTTTGTTTTTTTGTTTTTTTAATACTGGGTGTTGTCTGTGAAAAGCTCAAATATTTTGTTTTTACGTGCCCTGGATTTGATGGTTTCTTCCAAGGGAGGAAATAAGGGGATAGGGCCTCGCTCGGCTATACAACACCATAAAGAGTCTATAATACTCTGTATGTATCTGGAGCTCATAATTGTACCGATACATTCAAATGTTGGACTCGTCTTAATGCACCTGGTCTGGAAAGGCGTCCAAATGCATGTAGAGTGTAGAGTAGTGGAGCGGGGCCCATAATCTGGCCTTACCCTGTTGCCAGAGTGTTCCTTTGGAGAGGATCAAACTGCTGTCAACTTAATAATGTGCATCTTTCTACATGAAAAAGGACAATAATGCACACACACACACACACACACACACACACACACACACACAGAGAGAGAGAGAGAGAGAGAGAGAGAGAGAGAGAGAGAGAGAGAGAGAGAG